AATTTGTCTAATTTTAAAATCTAATTTGGGATATCTAGGACAGGTCCGGTAAGGCTTCACTTAATTCTTGATTGATATAATTGTTAGGCCTGCCTTATATGACACTATCTTGTTTATTCCTTAAGACTAGACATATTCAAACCCCGAACTACTCTCTGCTTTCAATATGTCATTGCCATGGTGTAAGCACAGAACATCTACCCAAAGAAAATGTGGTGGCTTCTCCAGTCATCTTTGGTCTTTGTGCACTTCCTGTAGTGTGTGCTCTCTATTCCACTGATTTAATAAGGGCTACCAGGAACCACATCTTCACTTAACCCTTATGTCAGCACATCTGTGCCAGACGGACATGTGATACCTGACAGAGTTGTGCCAGGAGACGTTCCTAGTTTAGATGCAGTTATACTACTAAATATATGCTCTTGCTAAAATTGCTTTTCACATGTGGGGGTGGTTTTATTACATGGGTAGAAAGCACAGCTACTTATGTTGTTAGACCCACATGAAAGGTACTCTGCTGGTTCAGGATAGCAGCATTGCCATACTGGTAAGGTGATTGTGCAGACATAACCAAAATGCCCAGAGCAATTTATACATTTTGTAGTATATTATGGCGTTTGGCATATTGGACCTGGTTATCTAGCAGTAGTACATGGTATTGAGTGCAGCAGGGGTACTGCAGGTAGCCAATGCAACCTATTCCTCGTTACCTAAGAGGTGAATCCTCCAAGTCACTTGTGCCTGGCCCAATGGGAGCTGCGCCTCTGACGTTTAAGCTATTTTATGTAGATGCCTAAATTTAGAATTCGGAATCTACCTTTGAATACCCAAGCCTGAAATTGTAGGTTGTATTGCTCAGATCAGGGGTGGCCAACTTGTGGCATGCATGCCAAAAGTGGCATGGGCAGCCTCTGTATGTGGCACATGGCAAATTGGAGGAGGGGACAGGCAGCACAGCAACAGACAGGGCAGAAAGCAGAGCAGTAGATGGGGCAGGAGAAGGGGATTGGAATGGCATTCAGGCAATTTGTGGCACTCCTGCTAAAACGGTTGGCCCCACTGGCTTAAATGAGGCCAAAAAACCTGTCACAGAACTGCTTTTATCCTGTCCTTGGAATTCCAACTGCTGCAGCTTTTCTTGACTATTTAGGCCATGTTAATGTCAGAAAATCTGTGATTAAACTTTCCATCACAAGATGTTGGAGATTATCTAGCCCCTCCCCCAGCCTCTATCACCACAAGCATGCACACAGGTATTCACCTACTGTTCAAACAACCACTTATTTTTATATTTGCTGCTGCAAGCATTACTGTCTTTTACTTTCTAGTAAAAGCTATATAAATCCTCAGGTTGTCATGCTGAATCCATATTAAAATAAAAGCTATGTCCCCAGTAAGCCTTATTAAAATACACTACTTGATGACAAAACATCTTTCAACTTTTTGGCAACTGATAGGTTACATAGCAGTAAAAAAACCTGGCAATCCCCAAAAGCATTTTATTAAAATCCCAAACAAAAGGCAAAGAAACCCAAGTGAATGTGTTGTGCGAGAATAACATTTCCCCCTATCCCCCAAACATCTGTTCATGTAATCTAAAACCATTAATTCCAGGAAGTTTCTCTAAACCTGATTGCACTGCATCCTTTTGTATTAGGAGCTCATAAAGCCCCTAAAAAAAACTGCATTTTTGTTATGCCAAGAGTCTATGTCACCATATTCTAAATTCAGCTAACCTCTACTTCCCAAGCCCTAACGGTGAGATGCAAGATACAAATTTGAGCCAGAAGCTCTCAGCAGCACTGCACTTTTTGAATACAGATTGTTTTGGCCTTAATTTCAGTTTAGTTATAAATTATTAGCATTCAAGATCCTAAGACTTGCAATGGACAGAGAGAAATTTGGTCTTAGAAGGGCAGGTAAATATGCGTAAGAAGCCCCATGACTAATCATTGGAAAAGAGGTCAAGAAACACCTGGATGCAATCAGTGGCTTCAGAGCATTTCTGCTTCCATTAACTACTATGTAGGACAATAATTAATTTAAGAGTCTAACAGGCAGCTTGTGTACCTGTGCCTCCAGGAGGGCTTTAACGAATGGGTCACATAGCATGGTAATCTAGGTAAATATTTACAAATTAGCTGATTGTGTTATAGCTTTGGACTAGTATTGATGTGTATATTATTAATGATGTACAGGTGTATATGATGTAATTATAAATTATTTGTACAAACATTATGGATGATATATATTGGAAGGTGCAATCCTTTTCATTTTGATTAAATTACATTGTAAAAAAACAACCAAGTGGCAATGTTTTGTGTGGCTGTGTGAGAGAAGTATGTGGGGTAGAGAGACCCTGCACAGAAGCTGATTATGTTCTCCATTGTTTGTTTTACACATCCCATTTTGAAGCCATTTACCCTGCTTTGTGAGACACGAATACATTTCCAAGCAGCCAGCTCTTGGCTAAATATACTTGAGTCTCTATTTGCAGCATTTTGGAAGGAGGATGCAGATGCCCTCAAACTTTAGTTGTCCTGTGGCTCCTCTCATTCTGAACATACCTGTTGGATCTCCACAATAAAGTTTTGGAAGAAGATCAGCATGGGTCTAGGGAGGTGAGAAAAGGGCTTGCTTTGTTGGACAGAGATAGCATGCCCATCTTCTCAAGAAAATCACTTTAACTAGGATTCAGATCAGGAGATGGGAGAGCTGGGAGAGCAAGAACATATTCATGCCCAGGAGGAGGGCTGTAGGCCAGACCCCAGGATTTCAGAGCATTTGTGTGTTGTTCGGTTCTGCAATTCCTTAATTTCCCATAGGTATAGGTTGCTGACTTTGGTCTAATGTGTTCCTTACAGTAAGTCTCCCACCCTTAAAGCAGCACACACATAGACACTTAGGTTTCCAACAGATGTTGTGTTTGTTGCAGGCCAGATTGTTCCAGTATTTGACTGAGATCAAAAAAGTCACAGCACAGTTGTATACAAGGCGCTCCTCCAAGCGTCATCCCGTCGCACTGCTGCTTGTCTGCTAGTAGATGGCTGGCGAGAGCACACATCCCATCTTGCCTTGAGGTGATCTAGTGTCTGGAGGTTCTCAGAGATTCCCCAGTGTGGCGGAAAGCACCCATTGGGTGGTCAGCTAGAGGGGACTGCCCAGGAGTGAGCCAGTGACCGCAGCTGAGAAACAAGCCCTGCCCACACTATGTGTGCCCAAGCGTAGCAATCAGGCCAAGTAGATGGTTTAGATGTGTCCTCAGTGCATGTATGCCCCAGAGCTGTGCTCAGGCCCCCTTTAAGCCTTCTTCCATCTTTAATTGTTACAGTCAGGTACAACCAGCGTGGGAGCCAGTGGATGGAGTTTGTTCCTCACAGCGGTCCCAGTCTCAGCAGGGAAGTGACAGAGACATGCTAAGAGTGCTAGACATGATAAAGAGTGCTAAAAGGATTTGTGTGATGCTTTGAGAGTGAAACATATTCCCTCTAATATCAAGTTGTACACTCTCATGGTATTATTGTGATGCTATCATCTTGCTGACATTTAAACCTGAGCTCCTGACTTTTTGTGGTCACTGAAAATCTCATTGCACCAAACTAGGTGCCCTAACCCACCTGCAGGTTTGTCTGTCTAAATCTCCTAATTTCCTCTGCAATCTCAGTTGAACAACATATTTTTTGTCTTAAAATAACTGGACAGTGTTGTTTTATGCATTTTAAAATGTTGCCAAAATTTGACCCTTGAGGTGGCTGCATTTTAGTAGTGGGTGAAGTTACTCCTGTAATTAGAGTTTTATATAACAGTTGGTACAGCATACAAAGCACTTTGGGATACATTTGGGCAGAAACGGCTATAGGAATGCAAGATCATTATTATAACAGGCAATGTGCAGTCTCAAAAATAAAAGGAATCATGTCATATGAAGAGCATTCTCCAGTGCTGCAAGAACATGTGATGACTTGGAGATCCTGTTTATATAGTGCTTCGGAATACCAGTTTGAGTTTATGACCTACGTATCTCCTTGTGTCTTATGACAGTCTTTAACTGTGTTACACCTCATGTTTATTGTGTTAGGGCCCAGAACCTGGGGCATTGTATTTGGGCAGGAGCCCAAATTTATCTCAGAAGGAGGACTGTGGTGTGTCAGAGGACTGGGTATTTGGGAATAAGGACTGGGGGGAATGTAATCCCTGTGCCCACAGGGGATGTGCCTAGGGGCTGCATGGTCCAGAAGCCGCAGGTGGGTTGGAGCTGGACCTGAGAACCTAGGGTCCTGGTGGAGTGGATCCTGGCCCATAGGACCCAGCCAGATTAAAAGTGAGCTGAAGCCAGGAAGGGTCTTGGGTCAGACAAGGGCCTACCCCAAAGCCCACATCTGCCTCACTGGAGGCAGCCTCCCTCTGAAATTATAACATCAAGTGATGGCAGGTGAGATAACTGTGAAGGGGAAGGACCCAGAGAGTCTGGAATTGGGGGTGAGGAAGTCAAAGCTAAGTGATAAGCCAGACAGGGGACCTTGTTGCACCAGCAGCGTACATATGGTCACACCAATCTAAACCTACTTTGCTGCAATTTCAAACCAGTGTTACATGTACTTCTCCCTACAGTGAGGAAGAAAAGTTGCTCTCCCTCATCTTTATAGCAGCCCTTCAAATATTTGAAAACACTCATTATGACCCCTCTTAATCACCTTTTCTGTAAACTAAATACACCTATTTCTCAACTGTCACAACCCAATTAAATTGTGCCCATGCCACTGAGCAAGAGATACCATTCAAATCATCCTCATTTTGACGATTAAGGGTTTTAATCCCTGCCAAAAATCCCTTGAAACAAAACGCGGCCAGAGTACTGTAGATAATTGGTCAGCTGAAATAAAATGCTAGGGGAAACTATACATAATTGGTCAAAGATAAACGTAAGCTCCTCACACGTAGCACACACGTAACAGGTAGAGAAACCTAACCCACTACCTTGTAA